AATTGAGGCCTACGCTGATTATCATTTCTTGGGCTGTTTTGTTTAGCAAACATCGAGTCATCCTCACGTCTCACCGGGCAGCTGCGTTTTTTGTTAAAATATACAAATCTCGCGAAATTTATAAGCTGACGTCAAACAATGTGTTTATATAATTTCAATAAGGCAAATGAACACTTTCTAAAACCACAATCTATCAACCCTTGAATGTGAATGTGTGTGAGCAAGGGTAATTTTGAATGTGTGAGCAAGGGCAATTTTGAAATGCTGAAAAAATTAAATTCGCTCATTAATTACCGCAATATTTTTAATTACGTGACTGTAAAGTAAAATCCGCAGAGCAAATGAGTACTTTCTAAGAACTAGCATTTTTTTTATCAGCCTATAAATGATTTGTTAAACGGGAATTATGAAATATAAAATAGCGTTGAAAAATTGTTCGTTCAAAATCAAAATCTCTTTAAGTTTCTTGGCTGTGCAGAAGAAAAAAAAATGAAAATGGTACGCATCTGCGCGGTTCCAAACCAGCAATTGACGCGAATCTAATCTGAAATCTAATCATTTTTTGGCGACTAATCACAAACTCGAACCCTATAAAACTTAATTAGAGCCCTTTAATTACGTTGATCGTGACTTAATTTATCGTCAATTTGAAATTTCCGTATCTAATTATAGGTTTATATTGATAAATAAGGTGATGAGTTGCAACGAATGGTAAGCTTATAACATCGCAAATATTACGGAGAATAGGGCAATAGATTATTATTATTGACAATGTTGCACTAATCGTAAGTCTTTCGCTGACGTTAATTGCGGTTGAATGCTGCGACTGATGTTTTCTTAATACCGAAAAACGCCGTGCGTTGAACAAAGATATCGCAATTATTTTGTTTGTAGAATAACTTTTGTAACAAAATGAGCACTCATATTGCATAAAAAGCTTACTCCAGCAGTTGAAGTTCTCAGATTTAACTCATCACATGATTAACCTTATAGTAGTGTTTGATTTCTTTATCGGCAATTTATGATTTATGGTTGGAAATGCTTTGTAGGGGTTATCTGTAGCTTTCAAACGATTCATTGAAGTCAATGTATCACTTAAAAGTGCTATACACGTCCATCACTGCGGACTATTTGTCAGTCATGCCACCTGCCTGTCTCGTCATGTCTATCAAGTCTTGTCAAGTCTTGTCAAACCCTGACAGTTATGTCAGGTCTCAACCGCTTATTACAATTATGAGCATCTAATAGGCGGCAAGCGAGCGGTAGAGGTTTGGGCTCTGATTATACCTGGCACTGATTTTATCCATTTCTCGAGCAAATTTATTAATAATATTTAAAATATTCATTCCCGATATTATACACTTCATCATCTTCCAATAAATTATTTCAAATATCGTTAATCGGAATTTAAATATTAAAAACAATTTCCCCTTGTTTATAAAGAAATGTCAGAAAATATATAAATATGCGATTCATAACATGTCATAAACCTATACATATAACGAACAATTACAAAGAAATAAAAATAATAAGTGTGTTTCTATGAACTGATGCCAAAATTGTTGCAAATAAAGAAATGTAATTGGCAAGAATTGAATTCGTAAACGAAATGAGAAATATTTCATCTAACAATCCATTTCCCCTTGTTAATAAAGAAATGTCAGAAAAATGAATAAAATATGCGATTCATAATATGTCATAAACCTATACATATAACGAACAATTACAAAGAAATGAAAATAATAATGTTATTTGTATGAACTGACGCCAAAATTGTTGAAAATAAATAAATGGTATTGGTAATTGTACAGGGTGTTTCAGAATTAAGTAACCCTTTTAATTTGTTAATAAATAAAAACTAAGAACGTTATGAAGTTGAAACTTGTTTTATTTAAAAGAAGAACATTTTTATGGTAATATTGTATCCTAGTTTTTAAATATAATATCTTTTAAATGCCCACCACAATTGTTTTGACAAAATAGGGCTCTTCTCTTCGTTGCTTTCATAACCTTCATTAGTGTTTCTGACGAGAGTGCAAATTTTTGATATCCGCAAATTTTCGATAAAGATATTTAAATGTGTTTTTTGAAGGATCCTTGTTTTGAAATGGATCCTGTAATCACGTTGAACTTCTGTTATTGACATCGTTATTGACTGTAGCGATAATTTTTGTTCTTTCTTCTTTGCTGTAGCGAATCATGATGAAAATTTAAGGCTTGATAATTAAACACAAATTTAGCAAGCTATACAGGATAATGAAGTAACTATGATGCAATATTACCATGAAAATGTTCTTCTTTTAAATAAAACAAGTTTCAACTTCATAACGTTCTTAGTTTTTTATTTATTAACAAATTAAAAGGGTTACTTAATTCTGAAACACCCTGTATATCCAAAAGCTCGCGAGTTCGCTTCTTCATCTCATTTGTTGCTATGGAATTATTTCAATCGTGGCCCCAACTTGACGCCCGCCTCATTTTCAGACTCAACCTGAGCAGATGGAAAACAAACAAAACTTACGACAGTGCACTTGAGACCCTCGGCCTCTTGTTTCGAGCCTCGTAGGGAGCAGAAGGGGTTTAGGGGAGTTACATACGTATATGAAATAGAGGTCTAATAATCCTCTAGAAACGCACAGGCTTTATAGAGGAAACTAATGGAGCAATTATGTAGCGAATTTATGGCTGCGAATTCAGGAGCTAGCAGGCGGTGAACGTGGGAACAAGTTTCTCCAAATTAATTAATTCACGTTTCTTCTAATACGTAAGTTTCTTCAATTAATTTGAGAAATTGTACGAAATTCAAACGTAATGACAGGTAAAAGTAATATAAAAAGACTACAAATAACTAATGCGGAAAATAGATGATAGAAAAACGATATAAGCGCAGAGCAAAAGAAAGTATCAGTAAAAGTATTGTTTACATTCTTCCCTGAATGCCTATAACGAATCTCAGTTCCTTCGCCTTTATCGTACGCATTTCATTCGCGTGAGGTAAATGCGTGAAATTAGTAGACACCTTCACATATAAAGGATGAAATATCAATGTTATGCAACCCAAGCCCCGCAAAAAACGTATACCGCACTCTTGAATTACGTAAACATTGAATTTCTCGCGCGATTTTAGGTAGCGAAGTCCCTTGACTACCGTAGAGCAATCGACCCACCAGGATCAGATTCATATGCGAAAATGAAAACTTTGTTTTTGACTCAATAATGATAAATAATTAATTTACCAAAAATTCATGGTCATCTTACAAACATTGATAATTATAATAATGTATCGTGCTTGGCAGCATAGTAACATCGAGGAAACGTCATATATACAGGCACCCTGCAGGCCTCACCCCAACGCCTGGGCCCTAATTAGTGAACTCGTTACGCCACTGATCTCGGTAATAATAATATGTTATTGTCGTGACAATTAGGATAAACGTATAGGAAAATGAACAAACTATTTGGCAATAACAAATTAACGAGGATCAGTTACCGTCATAAGTGCTTTCTAAATTAGTGCTAAATTTTCACATAAGTGATTGGTTGAATTATTTGAATAATATCTTTATGTAATTAGATTTATTTAAGTAATTGATAATTATCATGGGGTCAATACACCATCATGTGTTAAAATTTCTCCCCCTACCGTGAAATTACTTCAGTGATGTAGAAAAGCTCGACAAAATACCCATTATATTTTTTAGTTCAAGCAAACCTTACGCTTCTACGAAAAGACCTATTCCCATTCTCTTTTTCTATGCACAAAATTCTTAAAAGAACTACGCGAATGAAATGGTTTCGCGCCCTATTGGATTTTTTCATAGACATTATTAGTTCAAAATTAAAAGCTAAAGCCGCCAATTAATTCCGGCCATTCAAAGGCCACCAGCGGAACGCTCGTAATTTTCCCCAAGGGAGGGGATGGGGAGCACACGTAGGGAGGTATGGCAGGGTCAGCCCCTTCAACGGTCAGGTCAAACAGTCGGGCGCCAGTTTCAATTTCATCCATAAAGCTGACTGGGTTATCAATTTATAGGCTTTTCTATTGGAGTAAACTCTCACCTTATTAACTGCCCAAAAAATAAATCTACGGCCCCTGCTGAAATATTCATATTTATTCAGCTTTGATTACGAACGAGGTGTTCATTTAAGCTTCTTTCCAATAACAGGTAAGATTGTTAAGAACATCAAAGGACCACGGATAATGGTATCCTGATTAATATATTTCTTGGTATCTATCCAGAAAAAGAACGAAAGAAACTAATTTTGGCGTACGTGGCAAGTCCTACCATATCAATTAATTTTTCATCTTTTATTTCATCGAATCTTTTCTCAGTTTTCAAATTTATATAATAATAGTAGAGAAAAAATGGTACAGACAACAACCCAAAAATTCCCTACTTATTTTTCTTCGTGACAATGACCACTGAACAAGAAATTATACAAAGAAATATTTCTGAATTCATGAGCTCAAATACAATGTGTGAGAAATTGGACCTCCAATGACGTTGATCACGATCTTTGTAGCAACTATAAAAAAATCTACGGACGAGAGCACCATTTACACACACTCTTTAGACGAGAGTACAATGTCGGTGGTAGGTTTTAGTGTCGCAAGTCTTTTCTGGAGTGATCAATAACATGGGATCAGGCATGTAATATTTTAAGGTCTTAATAAATCACTGAGTTATGGAAAGTTCGTAAGTGAAAGTTAGAAAAATTTAAGCTGGTCCAATGTGTAAACGAGTTGAAGAAGAGCGTCTTCTAATTGCTTCAACCACTTAGCGATAGAATCCCGAGCGATTTGCCTTGACTTTATATCGTTTAATTAACAGAAGAGTTAAAAGAAATACTTTCATAAATACATTGACTATGAACAAATACGATTACTGGCCAACTGACGCACCCGTGTTACACAATTTTTATATCATAATTATTTTCCACCATTCTCTATTAGGTTAACTATTCTTAAATTGCATGAGGAAACCACAATTGAAACTCACCTCCAGATCTTGCCAAGACTCTTGGAGAGCTCAGCGTTGTGGACCTGCCGGTGCTGGCCTGAGAGCTTCCTACGCGCCTCCTGCGCCCACACCATGAAGGCGTTCATAGGACGCTTGACGTGCACCTTCTGGCGACCGCTGCACCGCGACACGGGCGCCACCACCAACCTGCACGTGAAGTAGCTGAACTTGGGCAGGACACGCGACATGCAAACTCAACATCGACCTTATCAAAATATTTTATGCGACAGACGCAGCTAAGTCGTAATGTGGTTTTAACACATATGAATGAAATTTATATCTTGCAGGACACGTTACATGCGCACTCAACATCGACCTTATCAAAATATTCTATGCGACAGAGGCATTAAGGTCGTAATGTGATTTCAACACATACATTAGTCAAACGTGCAATAATTGTACAGTTGTTATCAATCAAGAAGAGTAAACAGTCCATCAAGCAATGACAAGCCGACATGAAACAATCCTAGTTTCTTCCAGCATCATGCCAACATGCAAGAGTTGTCATAAAGCATTAATTCGGCTTGCATCAATGATACAGTTGGCAGCAATGCAAGCCAGGTAAGTGACAGACGCTGTTCACTCAATGAAGTCGCAGAGCCGCAGACGCGCACGGTTGGCCACGCAATCAGTCTGGCGCCGGGTGAGACTTGGCTTATCGGCGCGATAGCGGCGCTGGAGGTCGCGACGACGGGATTCATGGCGCGGCTCTGAAGTGGGCGACTGCGGCTGTCAGCCATCAAAGCTACACCGCCCTCGCTTTTCAGCTCGACTAAAATTACCCTAGAATCTGTGGCTCGGCTAGAATTACCCTATAATCTGTGTGGTTTGATCAGAATTACCCTAGAATCTGTTGGCGGTAGGTGATAGCTGGGCGGCGAGATAGCGGGTGCTGTGACGCTGATAAGACGCTTAGAGTAATTCATACAACACTCCCACGCTGCACATCAGGCCTCAGAGTGGCGCCCGTGCGGTACACTGCTGGTGCCAGTGTCGTCAGGGCAACTTGATGTAGACAGTGATGGAGTACCTCGGTTATTGCTACAAATAGAGTTGCAGTCTAATATACGACCTTATCATAATTATGGTATCATAATATTATCATAATTATGAGCAGCTTGCGGTTATTTTCGACTAAAAAACCACATAATTTAAGTTTTGCCCGTTGAATCTGTGCTCTTCAACAAATACCTCAGATGTTTTTTCTCATTATGGATATTCACAATCAATTGCTGCTTCTCGCAAGTTCTCGGAATTATTTTTCTCCATTATCGAGGCAGATAGCTTCGCTTTTTCAGCAAGTTAAACATTAATATTGCCGCAAAAATTGCAATTTTACAAGAATATTGAGCCAATTTTTTTCGGAAAACAATACGGACATTGCAAATCCACCGGCTAATCGCCTGCTGTCTTTAAAAAATTTTTAATACCATCAAGAAAGACAAATTTAGGGAAAAAATTATTGAAAAGGCAAATTTTCAGATAAAAACAACTTAAAAGAAGCATGATTACAGGACTAAAAAACCTTCGTGGAAAAACAAATTCACTATGTTGACAGGTTGACAGTAAATTTATCAAACGCTATGATAATTTTCGTGCCAAGCTCATGGTGGAAATGGTCAAGGTTCCGACGACTCAATTAACACAAGGAGCGAGTGGCGGTGTTACGCCAGGGCGCCTCGAGCACTACGACGACTGTATAGTGTTTCCGTTTTGGGTGTTCCGCCATTTACGATCGTATGAAACCACGGACCTGGTAGGAATAGCATTGAAACTTGTGCGTAAAAAGGTTCCTTTAGGACTTTGAACAGTTAAGACCAACTAGCCAGAGTGCTACGCTTGAGCTCCGCGGTTTTAAAAGTCACGAGCTGCGGAACCGACTCACAGTTCCGCTATACGGTCAGTTTGTGCCAGAGTGCCGCTCTGACTCTTTTCTTCCGTAAACACGCTAAAGAGCGCATTTTAAAGGCCAGTTTACGTGGTCCTGAGTTGGGGCTTTTGCCCAACTCATCATAAGCTGAAGGAGCCACCAAACACTAAAATTATTATGGCGAGCTAATTATCAGTCACTTTTACAATGCTAGTGTATTCGGCATTTCTCATTTTTCTGTAGCAGATCAGAGGCAAAGGCAGAGTGAACTTGAGAAACAAAAGATAACTTTAATCGTGAATATGAATCTTGCGACGTCTTTTAGAGGCGGCGACCCTTCATGGCTTTTGGACTGCTACGTCCGAAACATATACTAAGGATACTATAGGATAAGGATGTCAATGAGCAGAATAATAATAATAATAAATAATTTAACTGGTCTCTAAATAAGGTCTCTAAGTGAGGCTAACTAAGGTATGTAAGCGTAAATTATTTTCGATCAAACAACGCTAAGATGTGTACATTATTAATGAAAGAATATAATTGACATTGTTAATTTTGTAAGTGAACTAGCTAAACGAAGTTCAGGTCATTCGAAGGATCTTTTCCAATTTCACAATTTAGAAATATTTATTTTCTAATATGTAACCATACTTTGTTCAGATTACATATTTTTTCTTTTCTTTCAAATTTTAGGCATCACAACAGATGATTCAAAAGATTAAAATATAACGGTTACCTACTGCAAAAATGTTAATGTGCTATAACCTCCCCACAACTGAACACCAGAGGTGAGCAGAGCAGTATACTAATACTTTGCTTTAATGTGTGTAAATAAATATTTATTTCCACCAAAATTTCAATATTTAACTGTGTTGGCGATCAGCGTCCTACAACAACTAACAACTCTGGGTCGCCTTGACTGCATTATTCTAACATAGCCTGGCATACCCAATTATGCCATCGATCTGATATGCGGATTAATCCACCAGTCAACATCCTTCAACAAGCTGGTATATGCTTATCTACCAGATAATGTTCTGCAACACCTTGGTATACATTCATATATCTACCGGATATGCAGTGACGTTCAACAACACTGTTAGAAAAATTACCGTTAACGGTATTACCGGCGTTTCAGTGGCCGGTCGGCACGTGAAAAGTAACACCGTGTCGCCGTTTTTATTCTAATTTAACACTAGAAATCCGTAAAACATCTGATAAAAACGGCGAAACAGTTTATTTTCACGGGGCGACCGGCCACTAGAACGCCAGTGGGACCGTTTTTTCACCGTTTTTTCTAACAGTGAACCTAGTAATACTCATCTACCAGATAATGCTCTGCAACTCCTTGGTACACATACATCTATATATATAAGCGATATTCTGTGTCCTACAACAGCCTATTATTTGAGCCTGTCGTAATAATTTACGTTACATACCCGGCACTTGACGAATTCCGGTTTCGTACGTCGTCAAATCATAACCTTCCCAAGCAATGGAACTTCATATCGATAATTGATTAAAAATCATTATTCTGTTCGCATCTGAGGTTGATAATTTATCAAAACGCGACTGTCCTAAGAATTTAACATATTCAAACTGAGAATTTTCTAATCGAAGGTACATAACTCAATAATCAACGAAATAGTAAATGAGTGGGCTCCGTACCATAGAAACATTGTGAAATGTTGCGATGCTTGATCGAGCATTGCTTTCGCTAGCTATGCATTTTCATTGTAAACAGTGCACTATCCAAGTACCGATCCCTATGTACTTCCCAGGCCTCAATACCAATATGTACTATTTCGGCCCGATACCAATGTACTGTCCTCACCTCGATACTAATTAATGTACTATCCAAACCCCGATACCTATGTACATATCAACGCCCCAATGTGCCATGCATGCTAGCCCCGTTTCGAATGTACTAAGTCTTGAAATAATCTGACTCTGCCCAATCAACGACTGTTGAAATAAGCTCGAGCGATAGTCATTAAGTCAACGAACATGAGAGATAAAATGCAGGTACACACTATAGGACGCGATGTGCGGTCATCATTTTAGCGTCACAGAACCCAAAAGACGGGAGAACTGGATGACAGATAGCCGAGATTGTCCCGGGTGTAAAGTGTGTCACAAGGCTGATATCGGCGGAAGAGTGAGTCATCTCTATAACCTGGCTTCCTTCGTTGGTATTTTCTTAGCTCCCTCTCTCAATAACTACGTCTTCAGTATTTGCCATTTTTATCTACATGTTACTCGGGAATTCATCCTTGATCATTTGCTCAAACAATTATATTGTTGTTATACAAATTTATTGGCTAACCTTACCCAACAATGCTATGGAAGAGAATTTCCGCTAGATTCTACAAGACTGCAAAAAACTTTGAGGGTTTTGAGTCATCAATTGATTGCTCTGACGTTTCTCAATAGCGTCATTCATCCAACAATCATTCGTGTAATGTAATCGTTTTCCCACACCTTTAATGTACTATAAATATCCGGGGGTCCCTTTTATCACGGTAATATTTAGATTATATAAACAGCAACAAGATCGAAAAACGTTTTGCATAAATAAACTGGATGCAATTAGTGAGATTCATTTAAACATTTCCAGTCCGGCGATTTGACGCACATTCTATATTCTATTCTATATTCTCTTCTATAGCGAAAAATTCTAAAATCAAAACAAATCTTGAGCTTTGTCGCTTCTTGCTGGCAGTCAGTTCGATTGAATATATTCATGATCGCACTTACTCATTAGTGACTTTAGGTCAACCTTTACACATAAAAAAATTAATTAACGTTCTTGAAAAGGGGTCAACTTTCGTTCTGATTCTAGTTATTTGTTTGCTGCGTTCAAGATAAGAACATCCAAACGGGGACGATATGGCTTGAATTTTTAGTAAGGTTTATCACGAGCTGTGTGTGGGCTATCGCTGTCTCTATAAAAAGAACTCGGAACTCTCAAGCACTTCCTTCTTCATGCCGATAGGCTTAACTCACGCCATCAAATGACCTGTCGCAACTCTAAACAAATCATGATTCAACCAGAAAGTTTGATATCAAACCTTACAATCTCTATTATAGGCGCCTAGACAAATGGTATAAATGCTAAAAAATATCAATTATTTCTACACATTAACGAATCTGAACAAATTTCATCACAAAAATGCAAATATCAGCATAGTGAAAATTTTTGTTGCTAGCTAAAAATAAGGGAGATGTTCTTCGAATATTGTCGATATATGCGATGAAGATCTTCTTTATACATGCCTCACAAAAGACGCTATAAAATCCCTGAAGCCGAACCCAATTTACTAGCTAAGCCAAAACTCAACACAGATCTCGCACTTATTACTGGACATGCTAAATCAATTCTGGTCCCGTCGAAATTATGTCAATAAGAAAAGAACAAATAACACTAGTAAAATATAAGAATAGATCCGCATATACAGTATATTGCGTTTTGGTTTTAATAGTAGCAAAAGGTAAGAAAAATCACAGTATGACTGATCAACATTCACAGTTTCATGAATTATGCAAATTAACGAATCGGAATTGATTGGATTCTCGTTATGTGAATTTATGGCCCCACAGGCATGTGTTCTCTATGTTGCTTCTACACCGTGTGTCCCCAAAAAAACGATATTTAACTTTGAACGGCTGTAACTCGAAAAGTAATAGAGTTAAAAGAATTTGAAAGGTAAGGATTTGTTCCCTATGTCTTTCTGCATCTCTCCACCAAAAATCAGACAGATCGATGTAGCCATAAGCGTGTGATAGAACTTTCAGTGACATGTACTAAAATCGTGCTTGCGCAAAGTTTTAGTAAGATCACTTTGCATAATCATTACGTTGTCTTGACATGTTTTCTATTCGCTGTTTTATTTTTTGTACCTTTGGTGAGACAAAATCATGGCAATCTTTGGTGAGAGGCAATCATGACAATCTTTGGTGAAACACAATCATGGCAATCTTTGGTGAGACACAATCATGGCAATCTTTGGTGAGAGGCAATCATGACAATCTTTGGTGAGAGACAATCATGACAATCTTTGGTGAGACACAATCATGGCAATCTTTGGTGAGAGACAATCATGGCAATCTTTGGTGAGAGACAAGCATGACAATCTTTGGTGAGACACAATCATGGCAATCTTTGGTGAGAGACAATCATGACAATCTTTGGTGAGACACAATAATGGCAATCTTTGGTGAGACACAATCATGGCAATCTTTGGTGAGAGACAATCATGATAATCTTTGGTGAGACACAATCATGGCAATCTTTGGTGAGAGACATTCATGGCAATCTTTGGTGAGACGCAATCATGGCAATCTTTGATAAGAGACAATCATGACAATTTTTGGTGAGACACAATCATGGCAATCTTTGGTGAGAGACATTCATGGCAATCTTTTGTGAGACACAATCATGGCAACTTTTGGTGAGAGGCAATTATGGCAATCTTGGGTGAGAGACAATCATGGCAATCTTTGGTGAGAGACAATCTTGGCAATCTTTGGTGAGAGAGAATTCCAAAACCAAAGATTGCCTCTCACCAAAGACTGTCATGAATGTCTCTCACCAAAGATTGCCATGATTGTTTCTCACCAAAGATCGCCGTGATTGTCTCTCACCAAAGATTGCCATGATTGTCTTTCACCAAAGAATGCCATGTTTTTGTCTCACAAAAGATACAAAAAATAAAACAGCGAAAAGAAAACATGTCAAGACAAAGTAATGATTATGCAAAATGATCTAACTAAAAATTTGCGCAAGCACGATTTTAGCACACGTCACTGAAAGTTCTATGAAACGCTTATGGCTACATCGATCTCTCTGATTTTTGGTGGAGAGATGGAGAAAAACATAGGAAACAAATCCTGATCTTTCAAATTTTTTTAACTCTATTACTTTTCGAGTTACAGCCATTCAAAGTTGGGTATCGATTTTTTTGGGACACACTGTGTATATGCCCATCAGTCGGAGACAGTCGTCATATTTAGCTCTCGTATTGTTTATGTTGAATATCTTCAGAACTGTTATTTTTTAAATATAATTTTATTACAATAATGCTTTCAGAACGTGTACAAACAATTCAAATTAGATTTCCGCAACGTTTGTTACGAGCATATAGAAATTTATGAATGTATCTGGTATTTTTGTCAGTATGTGTTTCATGGTATAGGGAAGCAAAACTTGACCTCATATGCTCTGATAGACGCAAGCACAACTTGATAACTTATATCCGGGTACAAGGAAGCAAAACTTATATAGCCTGGTATAACAGTAGCACCACTTATACCTTGCTATGTGACAGCAGCCAAACTTTACGACTTATACCCTGGTTTGACAGCAGCACAACTTCATACCACTTGTACCCTGGTCCCTATAAATGTACAACCTTCAATTTAAACCCTAGTACATAAACGCAAACCTATACCAACCACTAATATCCCGGTACATGAAGGCACAACTTGCCAACTTATACTCTGTTACACGAGCAGCACAACTTGACAAGCAATATATCATGGGCATCATAGCGCACCGTCCCTGTGGCTGACACTGCGGGACTTCGACGCGTCTGCATGGCGGCTGCACTCACCCGCGCGCTGCATCGATGCTCCCAACCAGGCATTTTATATTAAAATAATGTTGATTAATCATTTGTTCCATGAAATCAACTCGCAATCAACTTTATTTTATCTTAATTTATCTGGGAGGTCTTGATTAAACGACGCAACGCAGTGCGGCAAACTGGCTTGAAGCTTTGTATGAAATTTTAAAGCTACTCGTCTGCGTTTTCCGAATGATTGCAAATTAGCATCAGAAAACAATACGAAAATGTTAAGACCCCATTCATCCTTATTTTAAATTCAGCCATTTACTATAAGGCTTGAATTCCGTTATAAGTAATTGAATGTAATGCCAAATTTAAGGCGAAATACTGGTTGAAGCAAACTTAATTAACCTCTCTCGCGTGACCGATTATATGTAAATTCCAGAGAATTAGCCTCTAATTAATAACCAAATTTAGACTTTTCCTCGTACCCGATTATGTTAGCGAGTATCTTCCAGATAATTTGCCTCTAAATAATTATAGCTCAGTCTAGAAAGCTAACACTGAGAGTTGTGGGTACTTTTATTCAATCTTGCGCACCCTTTCTTGCCGTACACACTGCCAGCAAGTCATGCGTAATGCTACGTCAAGCGTACATTTAAACTGAAATTATCGGAGCAAAGGTCAAGATGCTACAAATGCTACAAATCATAGCAAATTAAGGTCAAGATGCAACTAATTAAGGTCACCCATGCAGTGCTGCTAAACTTGATGCCTTGAAATTAAATAAAATTGTCATATGGATGATGGACACCTACTTGTTGGCCATTGGGATGATGGACCAGTCGACGTCGTCGAGGATTTTGGTGACCGCGTCGCTTATTCCAGCGCCGAGCTTGTGGGGGCCGCGGCCCCCCGTCGTAGCTCCGGGGCTGCCCCCCGCATCATCAGGGTCTGTCACTCCGTGGTCCCCTGCAGTGGAGCAGTAATCCGCCGAGTGACGAGTTATGCTGACGCCGTTGTTAACGAGGATGTCAACGTTGACGTCGCGGCTCAAAAGTCCTGACACGAGCGGCGCGTCGCTGGTCGAGGTGCCTGACAATGACGAGGTTGACGAAGCCGACGACATGAGACTAGGGGAGGAGCAGGATGCTTCTGACGAACACGTGTAGCTTAATGACAAACAACTGGCAATGCTGCACGGAATGCTACTGGCAATATTGTTGGAAATGCTGTTGGGAATGCTGGTGCTGCTGGAAACTGAAGTAGAGGACGCGGACACTGGCAGGCACGACGCTGCTGAAGAGGTCGTCGTCTGATGGTCGCCAGATACAGCCCCGCTGATGAAGGCATAGCATCCGTCGTTGGTGTGGAGGCTCCTGTGGGCCACCTGCAGTATACCTGGCAGGTCAGGTGAGGTCATCATCAGGTTGCTGTCGTCAGACGAACCCAACACCTGCAGGTGGGAAGCGCTGTTGGGGGACGAGAACATGGTAGTCGGAGACCCCTTCTCCTCAACGTACGAAACTCTCATGAGAGGATCCTCGTAGTCTTCAGCGTGGGACTTGGTCTCCTTCCCGTGCGTCGGGAGACTCGGGCTATCTATGCTATCTATGTCGTATTTAATCTCATGCAAAAGAGGCGACAGGCGTTCTGTTTTCACACCGGTATCCATTTCGGCACCACTGTTATTATATTCTTGTATTTCGCTTAATCTTGACTCATACTTTAATGCAGCACTAGTTGGAATAACAAATACTTTCATTTATCGACCTTTTTCCCTCTTATTTTGTCACATGCCCTAAAAGGTTTCCGACTTAGGGGTCACGAGTTCCAGAACTTTGATTGTACGAAAAGCCTTGTTGGAGAGATCACGATACGGCAAATGCCCTGAGGCGATACTAGAGTTCGCGGCTTGGAACACGGCTCATCAGTCCCGCTGAATCACCCGAACAACCTGTTCTTTGTGCAGACGCCTCCTCCTCTCCTCGAAGTCGTTACTAACTCCGCCCTCGTGGCTGATAAGGAGTCGGGCTGCCCCGCCTCGGTCCCTGATAGTGAGGGTTGACCGCTCTCAGTGCCACGACGGTGCCACCAATGGGAGGCGCAGTGACTGCTGTGCCACCTGTTCACCGCCAATGAGGAAGAGCTGGTCTCATCTGCCTGCAATGGAGCACGCAGATATTTCTTCGTGAAGATTATCAATAAAGTAAATCACCAAGCACGGGGCCAAGTTGTTGTAGAACACCGATGCGCTAGCGGCAGCTTCAAGTTACGATACTCAATATAACTTCTTGCAGCAGCAGCAGCCATCTTATCCTCATTTGCTTTGCGTGCTAGTAAAAAGTAAAAACAGAATACAAACTTTAGTAGTTTAATAACTAAGAAATTCAACGTTGGTTTTTCATACGCAAAGGAAACCTCAAGATCAAGTTCCCGCAAATAAAGTTATTCAATAGCAGAAATTATCAAAATTTTTGATTATTAAATTGATCTCTCCTTGCTTGTTCAAATTTGGTTTTCTAGATAATAATTATGATACGTTCGGTTATGCAATGAATATTTTCAAGAGCTTCGACGATTTCATTTGAAATTAAAGCCGACGCTGAACCTCTCTATATCTGCCATTGTGCCAGTGCTGCTCAGTGCTGCTCAGTGCTGCTCAGTGCTGCTCAGTACTGCTCAGTGCTGCTCAGTGCTGCTCAGTGCTGCTCAGTGCTGCTCAGTGCTGCCCAGTGCTGCTCAGTGCTGCTCAGTGCTGCTCAGTGCTGCCCTGCGCAGCCTAGTGCTGCTCAGTGCTGCTCAGTGCCGCCCAGTGCTGCTATATAGGTGCTGCTCAGTGCTGCCCAGTGCTGCCCAGCATTGCTCATGCAGTGCTCTGTCATCAAGTTTCGTACGTGGTATAGATCGAGAGACGCCAATATGCGTATAGCTTCGGAGCAATAATAAACATAGCAGCACAGCGTAGAAAGATATACAGTACTATAATTTATTCGCAGTTACAGACAAGTTTTTGTCCCTATTTCGAACCAACTTCTTTCCTGTTGAAGATTTACGAAAATGAATTTCTGCTCTGATTGTCATTCATTCAAGTTACTATATATAAACAGCAAGTCTATGCATTCTTGATTAACCGAATGAAGGAACGGGAGCAGAGGGCTAAAATTTTTGATTGTATATATAGTAGTTTTGAAATGCTATGCCTGAACCAACCGATGAACCGAAAAAAAATCTATTTTGTTCTCTGTAATAGTTTTGTAAACTTTTTATTACATTGTCAGCTAATTTTCAGCAGCTAACGAGTTGATGTTTTACCCCGTAGCCTAAATTTAGCACTGATGTATTTTTCACACCGTGCAGGTACAATTTAGAGTATTCAATATAGGTTTTAGGTTTTAGGTTTTAAATGTCAGGATGTCCGAGAGATCAAGGGTATCTTCCGTTGCACCACTTGAATATATGAAGGTTAGTGACTTGAGTTGCAATTGAAGTTCTCAAGTTATATTTCAAGTTCTACAGAAGATATTTTCCTGACGATACCTAGATTCTTTCTTCTGATAAGTTCCCTTCAGAAACTGTCAAGAAAAAACTCTCTCCAGTCTTAAAAGTACACGAATCAATGAACAAATCAGCGTTGCTCAAATAAGGAATACATCGAAGCAGACGTAATTAGGCAGATAAATATGAAGCTTGCAAGAGTAGACCACAAGCCTTTACATCATTTATATCCTCTCACAATGTACCCTTAATTCTGTTATCTCCAACAGATCTTTCATTCACTATTCAGCCACCTGCAACCAAGAGAGAGATGAATGCAACGTTTTATTTGGCAACATACTCGTATGTTGAAAAGTCTAAGGAGTTGAGCATTACCTTTTCTCTGACAAGCGACTAAAAATTAAAGCTTGATATCATAACGCACTTCACATATTAATCAGAACATTGGGATACAAACGTATTTTGGCATCACAACGATCGTAGCAATGGTATCTGTTCTTACATAATGACATCACAAATAATTTTTATACAAAGGTGAGACAAAAAAATTTTTCGCCTTATTAGTTCCGCGTTCCTACGCAAAATAAATTTACAACAGTGCATTTCTAAATGAATCTAACATGAAACACTTTTTATTAAAATTAAGTTTATGAAATATGACGCGTCCAACAATATGCGAGTAATCGCTTTAAATTTGCATTATCCTTCAAAACCAAGTGAGGTGCGAATTGCTTATAATAAATTATCGAAATTTAGACATTTACCCATTAGAAACAAGTTTTCTTTTTTTTAAATATGTAATTTTGACTCTGGCGTTACTTATGTCTCAAAAATATAAATCTTATATTAATCAATATTTTCACATCTTTAAGCAGCATTTGAAACATAATTGTTCTCTTACTTACCACAGTTACTGACATAGAGACCGGCACTGAAGTATTAGCAAATGGCATAAAAAGATCGAATCTTTTTACCATCTCCTTGAACTGGTGAGTTCCGTGCCACTCAACTGAGCAAGATTTGCACGCGTGAACCCAGAAGAAGAAGAAGCAAATTAACGCTGCCGCATTCGAGCATCAAGTGCGCAAGGCCAGACTTGCATTTTTCATGTCTGGTATCATTAATCCCAAGTCAGATTAAAGTGTGAAAATAAATTGAAGGCAAACCAATGCAAATGCGCGGTACATGTATGCCACCCACAACTCATGACTTAAAATTGCATTCGAATCCGAGTCCAAAATGAACTAAAAAGCAAACTATAGAGTGCATGAGTCATAATGTATACGTGTACAATTTTTCTCGTCTGACAATCACGCGTCAAATAAAATAACAAAATAAACTAAGGAGAAAACTTGAGCGCACGATCGCAATATAGAATACTAACTCGACTCTCGACTGATAATCATACGTCACATAAATGTGCAAGGAATGGTAGCTTTTTGGCTGCTCACGAAGCGAGGCGCTGCACAAAGAGCCTCTGTTGTGCGTCTTGCACTTGCGCCTGTGATGCGCGAGAGCCTTAATCAGAGACACGGGCTTCGGCTTCACATCCGCCCTACCCATTAGGCGCTCAGCCCATCGCCACAACATGAAGGTGCGCGGCCGCAACCTTTGACTCGGCATGTGGGATATTTCGGCATCACCCGGAGGGCGTGTGATACTTCGGCATCACCCGGAACGCGTGTGATACTTCGGCATCACCGGAGTGCGTGTGATACTTCTGCATCACCCGGAGGGCGTGTGATACTTCGGCATCACCCGGAGTGCGTGTGATACTTCGGCATCACCCGGAGGGAGTGTGATACTTCGGCATCATCCGGACGCGTGTGGTACTTCGGCATCACCCGGAGTGTATATTTCGGTATCACCTTACATGTGTGATATTTCGAATCCAGGTGACATGGATGCCAAAGCTCAGTAAATTTTGACACTATTAAGTGGTTCAGGAGCGAGTCTTGGCTAGAAGTAACTCAAATTTCAACCCCAGGTCAGTATATATAAAACAAGTCAACACTTACTCCGGAACGTACTGTATAGCTAAGCATCCAAAGGACTTGATTGGCAACTTTTTTGCCAATCAAGAGTGAAGACGAGCAGCTTTTGCCTACTTCATAACCGAGGCTATGAAATTCGTCGACTGCAAAAAAATTTACAATTATTCCAATCGTCACTTACTTCCACGCTATTTTTAATGGTGTGACAGGCATATCTGGAAATGATTGTACAAGTAAATTTAACAACACTTTTTTAAATGTAATAATAACTTGATTATTGATTTACATTAACTTCATCATTCATTCGCAAAGACATGAGAATAAAAGCATAAGATCTGAGCGCAGAGTGGCACGAGGATGTTCCTGATCAAACACACGATCCGCAGCTCAACTGTCGGCTGCGCGTACGTCTCTGGTGTCGGCAGTTCGTCTTGCTGACGTGAATAGCAAGTCTTGACTTTGAATTGGAGTGAAATTATGAGGTCGAGAGTCTACCACTAAATTCCACCCATGTTCATCTAGAAGGATTAGCAGCTATGAGGTCGACTCTATAACGCAACGAACGATCTGCACAAGCGCTGTTAAATGGATGTCCAATGATGATCTGGGGGCAACGATTCCTAAGACAACACTTCTACGTATAATAAGTAGAATTAACATCTTACTGATCATTTTCACAATTGTCTCGCATAATCATCATGATGATTATCTTAGATTATCTCTGAGCTTTCGCCCTCGAGCGGCGAGGCGAGACGTGCGACTGCACCTCGTGACCTGTGGGGCGACGCGGCGACAAGAGGCGCCTGCGACGTGGCATGGAAACGGCGTCGTCTGGCAGCATTTCGGCTTTTGGCGCCAAAGTTAATCTTTTATCACGCGTAATATACATACATTTCCCGCATAAATTAAGCAAAAGATTATACTTACCATTTAGGTACCCTCTGAATCTTTTGCAGTTCAGTTCTACTCATATACACAAACATGCAATGTGATCGATGACAAGAAGATGATATTGAATTTTTCCGTGATTTTCTGCTTCTGTTTATGATGTCATTAAGAAAGGCGATGAAAGTATGTATATTGGGGTTACTTGTCCCCAGATTGGAATAAAAAATGTTGTATTAGGACAACGGATAAGCTTGTGCGGAAGCTGGAAGAATGAATACTATAGAAAATCGTTTATTCCTAGTATGTAAAGAATAAAGAGTATACCTGAAATGGAAACGCCCGATGGTTGCGGGGCGAAGTCTTTGAGCTTTTTCCTTTCACTCGCTCTTCGTTTATTCTCTTGTGAATGTTGCAACATTCAACTACCGTCGTATGGACAAATGACTATTCGTGGCGGCAGTCAAGCTTGACAATCAAATAAACCGACCGGATATATTTAATTTTTCACTCATTTGTGGCCTTCGTAAAAATGGTTTATAATTAACAATAATAATA